AACTTTCAGTCCCTGATGTTGCTAGAAAGTTTGTTTTTCAGATTAGTTGGGTAGAAATATCTGATACCTGAAAAATCTGAAAATCTGCCTGAAGAAATGGTTTCATGGGGCAACCAACACCCCCCGATTAAATCTCCAAAATCACCCGGCTGCTTCCTCTCCCTAGGAAGAGGAGACGAGGCTGAATTTGCAGCAGAGGTCGGAAATCCTCGCCGTGCGGGGGATGGAGAGATGGAGAGGAGCCGGGAGCAGCCCGGTGCCACTGCACCCTCCTGTGGCTGCACGGAGCGGCCGGGGCCGCCCGGAGGATGAAACAGCGGCGGGAGGATGGGAACACCACGGGGTGATGGAAACAACAGCAGGATCCTGAAACCACTTGGGGTGATGGAAACCGAAACCCCTCGGGATGATAGAAACACCTCAGGGTGATGGAAACACTTCCAGGATGATGGAAACCTGGCCAGGATCCTGGAACCCCTTGGGGTGATGGAAACCGAAACCCCTCAGGATGATAGAAACACCTCAGGGTGATGGAAACACTTCCAGGATGATGGAAACCTGGCCAGGATCCTGAAACCCCTTGGGGTGATGGAAAACCCCTCAGGATGATAGAAACACCTCAGGGTGATGGAAACCCCATGGAAAGATGGAAGCCCCACAGGATCCTGGAACCCCTTGGGGTGATGGAAACCCCTCAGGATGATAGAAACACTTCCAGGATGATGGAAACCCTGCCAGGATCCTGAAACCCTTTGGGGTGATGGAAACCGAAACCCCTTGGGATGATAGAAACACTTCCAGGATGATGGAAACCCTGCCAGGATCCTGGAACCCCCTGGGATGATGGAAACCCCTCAGGATGATGGAAACACTTCCAGGATGATGGAAACACTTCAGGATTCTGAAACCCCTTGGGGTGATGTAAACCCCGCAGGATGATAGAAACACCTCAGGATGATGGAAACCCCTCAGGATGATGGAAACACCTCAGGATGATGGAAACCTCAGGGAAAGATGGAAGCCCCACAGGATCCTGAAACTCCTTGGGATGATGAAACCTTGGTGGGATGATGGAAACACTTCCAGGATGATGGAAACACCTTGGGATGATGGAAACCACCCAGGATGATGGAAGCCTTGCAGCTCCATCATCCCCACAGGATCCTGAAACCCCTTGGATTGATGGAAACAACAGTAGGGTGATGGGAACACTTCCAGGAAGATGGGAACACTTCTGGGATGATGGAAACCCTGCTGGGATCCTGAAATCCTCTGGGGTGGTGGAAACAGTGGTGGGATGATGGAAATCCCTCGGGATGACGGAAACCCCAATGGGATGATGGAAACCCCACAGGATGATGGAAGCTCCATGGGACCCTGAAATGCCTTGGGATGATGGAAACCCCTGGGGATGATAGAAACACCTCAGGATGATGGAAACCCCTGGGGATGATAGAAACACCTCAGGATGATGGAAACCCCACGGGATGATGGAAACACCTCGGGATGATGAAAACCACCCAGGATGATGGAAGCCCCACTGCTCCATCATCCCCACAGGATCCTGAAACTCCTTGGGATGATGAAACCTTGGTGGGATGATGGAAACATTTCCAGGATCCTGAACCCCCCTGAGATGCTGGAACCCCCTTGGGATGATGGAAACCCTGGTGGGATGATGGAAACCCTGGTGGGATGATGGAAACACATCCAGGACTATAGAAACCCCCTTGGGATGATGGAAACCCCACCAGCATCCTGAAACCCCCTGGGATGATGGAAACACCTTGGGATGATGGAAACACTTCCAGGATGATGGAAACACCTTGGGATGATGGAAACCCCTCCGGATGATAGAAACACCTCAAGATGATTGGAAACACCCCAGGATGATGGAAACACCTCAAGATTATGAAAACCACCCAGGATGATGGAAGCCCCACAGCTCCATCACCCCCACAGGATCCTGAAACCCCTTGGGATGATGGAAACAACAGTGGGGTGATGGGAACACTTCCAGGATGCTGCAAACCCTGCTGGGATGATGGAAACCCTGCCAGGATCCTGAAAACCCATGGGATGATGGAACTCCTTGGGGTGATGGAAATCCCAGTGCGATGCTGGAAACACTTCTGGGGTGATGAAAGCTCCCTCAGGATGAGGGACTGAACCCTCCCAGGATGATGGAAACTCCATTGGGATGTTGCAAACCCTGACGGGATAATGGAAACCCCAGGAGGATGATGGAAACACTTCCAGGGTGATGGAAACCCCCTCAGGATCGTGAATACCCTACTGGAATGATGGATTGAACACCTCAGGATGATGGAAACCCCGGTGGGATGCTGCAGACCCTACTGGGATGATGAAAACCCCGGGGGAATGATGGAAACACTTCCAGGGTGATGGAAACCCCCTCAGGATCATGAATACCCTACTGGAATGATGGATTGAACACCTCAGGGTGATGGAAACCCCGGTGGGATGCGGCAGACCCTACTGGGATGATGGAAACCCCGGGAGAATGATGGAAACACTTCCAGGGTGATGGGAACATTTCCAGGATGATGGAAACCCCCTCAGGATCATGGAAACCCCACTGGAATGATGGACTGAACCCCTCAGGATGATGGAACCCCCCCAGGATGCTGGAAACGTCCCAGGATGATGGCCTGAACCCCAGAGAAGCACAAAAGCCGACACTTCCTGGCTGATTTGGCACTTCCTGGCAGTGCTGGATGGTGCCCAACGTGTCCAACCTGCACCACACCAAGGCCAGGGCTCGTCTGAAGGCTTGAAAAGGCTGCAGACTCTGTCCTGGTTGCCATTAGGACACACATGGAATGCTGCTGAGGCCTGACGGGGTAATTCTGTGTAAGCATTTTGTACATAAAATGAAATATTCTCCCTGCCTTGCTATGTCTGAACTGCAGGGCCTGGGCAGAGTTCCCAGCTCTGGCTCTACATCACAGCCTGGCCCCAAGTCCGTGCTGGGACAAGCTCCTTGGCCACAGACTCACCCTTTTTATGGCTGTTCAGCACCCAACACAACAAAGCTCCATTCAGCCCTTCAGCTACTGCAGCAATAAACAAAGTGCTGGGCTTTGTTTGCAGCCCAGAGGCTGCAGGTTGAGAACCTGCAAGTGAAACAAGCTGGAAACAAATGGGTTTGTTTTTCCACCGGGGCACAGACATGTAAACTAATTGCCCAACAGTAAAGCCAGGCTTAATTAGTCCCAGGTGTTAAATAAAATAGGGTTGGTGTTTCCCAAAAGTGTAACTCTGGCTTGAAGGAGGTGCAGGCTTTGAGAGCAGAGCCATCAGAAGGGATTATTGAGATCCTTGTGCTTGATCCCAGAATTCTGGGGGGATTTTGGGGCAAAGGATAAATATTCAGGTGGGTTTTGTTGAGGGCACTGCAGTGGGGTGCTGCATTTTCACCTCAGGATCTCACCTTGTCCTTGGAACAACTTTGCTGTGGATTTTTGGGTAAACACCATGAAGAATTCCATGCAAAATTTAAAACAAAGGGCTCCTGGGGGAACATTCCAGGGGCTGAGGGATGCTCAGGGGCACCTTGTACTCTGCCAATCCAACCTATTCCCAATTTTTTTTAATTCCAATCAGTCCTGAACATCATTAAACTCATCCTGTTTAATCAGGGCCTTAGTCCTGACTTCTACAGTACAATTTTCTGCCAGCAAAAGTTAAGAAACTTTGGGATTGTCCACCCATCTCCTTGGGACACCTCTTTGCATTCAGCAGGAATCAGTCATGGATGGGGCCGATCCAGAGGGAGGTTTCCCTGCCCATGGGGGGGTTGGAAAGATGGGATTTAAGGTTCCTTTCCAACCCAAAGCATGATCCCGTGGTGCCACAGCCTTGTCCCTGTACCCAACAATTCCAGGATGGGTGGCAGCGAGCTGGGGATGAAACACGGAGATTTTTCCTCCTGGAAAGGGAGGCCTGGCCCTGAGGAGCAGCTGGAAATCCTGCAGAACATCAACACCCTGTGGTGGCACTGGGGATGGAATGTCCTCAGCCCTGCTGGCAGTGGTGGCACTGGAGATGGAAGGTCCTCAGCTCAATGACAACGTTCTGGCCACTCTGGCACCACAAAGAGCCGATCACTGATCAGAAACAGGGAGGAGAACCAGGCCAGGAGAGGCTCCTTGGGCTCCTGAGCCTGCCCTCCTGGCCCATCACAAACCACAGCTCCCAAGCAGCCCCTCCCAGAGGGCCTTTCTCAGTAGCTCCTGGCTTGGATGTGGAAAATCCAAAGAAATTCAGTTTTCCTTACTCCTCTGGCTGACAGGAGGGGGCAGCCAGGGGGGTCAGACTCTGCTGCCAGGACAGGGAGAGGATGGAGGAAATGGCCTCAAGCTCCTCCATGAGGAATTTGGAGAACACCAGGAGGAATTTCTCCATGGAAAGGATGGTCAGGAATCAAGAGGGGCTGCCCAGGGAGGTTTGGAGTGCCCATCCCTGGAGGTGCCCAAGGAAGGCCTGGAGGTGGCACTCAGAGCTCTGGGCTGGGGACAAGGTGGGCATTGGCCACAGGATGGACTCAATGACCTCAGAGGGCTTTTCCAGCCCAGCTGACTCTGTCATCCTGTGGCAAAGACACTCGTGCACAGAGAATCCCTTTCCCACCAACATCTGCTCAGTGGGAACTGTTCAAGGGGAGAACTTTGCTCCCAAAGCAACATCTCCCCTAAAACATCCATTTAAATAACAACAGCTCCTCACCAGCTCCCTGGGACCCCTTCCCTCCCACAGCAGACCCCTGCTCTGACACCGGGAAGATCTCAGATCTCTTTCACTCTTCAGAGCTGCACAGCTTTTGTTTGCTCTCCTTTCCTTTCCTGTGCAACAAGGAAATAGGGTCACATTTCAGAGAAACCCAGCCAGCGGTGGTTTGCGAATGCCAGAGCTCTCGCTGGATGCTGCGGCCTCTTCTTTCCCAAAACCGACACAACCCTCACTCCACAGAGATTCTTTTCCTTCTTTTTTCCCTTCCTGCTCCCCAGCTGCTGTAGGGAAGCCCCCAAAGCTTCTCGGCAGAGCAGGTAAGAGGCACTTTTTGTTCGCTGCTGTTGTTTGGGGTGGCGGGTGCATCATGGCTGCTTTGTTCCTTGCCTGGTGGCTTTCTGCAGCACCGGGGCGTTCGGAGGGGAGATCCTGTGAAATGTTGGTGTTGAGATTCCAGATTGATTCCTCATTCAACCTTGGTTTTCCTACTGATCACTCTATTGGAAAAAAACGGGGTTGAGTTGGGGCCATCACGTTCTTTTTTGAATCTGAGGGGGTTTAGATGGGTCAGAAGACAACGAGATGGTGGCTTGTGCTCCAGCACCCCTGGCCAGCCTTTCCCTTCCTTTTACCTCTGAACATGGCATCAAAACTCTGGAAGTTTCTCCTTACATTTCCTGTGAGCCTTGGTGGCAACGTGGGAAGGTTTAGGATCTCAGTGGCAAGGTGAGGAGATTTAGGATCTCAATGTCAATGTGGAAGGTTTAGGATCTCAGTGGCACTGTGGGAAGGTTTAGGATCTCAGTGGCAATGTGAGGGGATTTAGGATCTCAGTGCCACTGTGGGAAGGTTTAGGATCTCAGTGGCAATGTGGAAAGGCTTGGGATTTCATTGGCAATGTGAAAAGATTCAGGATCTCAGTGATATTGTGGGAAGGTTTAGGATCCCAGTGGCAAGGTGAGGAGATTTAGGATCTCAGTGTCAATGTGGAAGGTTTAGGATCTCAGTGGCACTGTGGGAAGGTTTAGGATCTCAGAGGCAATGTGAGGGGATTTAGGATCTCAGTGGCAATGCAGGAAGGTTTAGGGAACCTGGCACCTGCTGGACAATGCTCCAAACACTCCAGAAGAACTTGAGGGATTTGCTGCTGGCCATCATGGCAATGAACAGACTGGAATCCAGAGGCAAACTCACTTTTATTTCCTTGGGTTTCTTCGGCATCTCCTCTGTTGATACCCAGTGAGGACAGGCACAGTTCCAAGCACAGTCTGGGGTGGTAGGGAATAACCTGGGACAAAGGAAACTTGGGTTTGAACCTCAAAAAAACCTTCCCTATCCATTAGACTTGGAATAAACCCCACAGGAACACCAGGGAAAGCCATCCCAGGGAAGAACTGGAGGAGGGATCCGGCTCCTCGCTGGCAGGGGATGAACAAAATGGATCTTCCTGATTTATTTATGGTTCTGCTGATTCCAATTCCTCACCCTCCTTTTTCCTCTTGGGAAGAGGGACCCAATTTTTCAATTGTCTGAAAAGTTTGCTTATGTTGCTGGGAATAGGATTTCCTAAACAAATGTGGCTGCTGCCACGGCAGGATTTAGAATTTGCACATATTAATACACAACTTTATAAGTTAACTCCCATTAGGGAAGAGGATTTCTTGGAAACTCCCAGATAACCAGGACAATTCATAGTCTCTGTGTAAAGCACCCAGCTCCATGAAAAGCAGAAATTCTGGGAATTCCCAGGTTCCCTCCATGATCTAAACCCACCCAGCCAAGCAGAGAGAGCTTGGCTTGAGCAGCCAAGGTCAGGAAGGACAAAGGTGTCGGTTAAGCCGAGCTTTTCCTCTCACAAACCCCAAGCAGGTGGGACTGGAGGCACAAAAACAGAGAGGCTGAAGGCAAAGAGTGGCACTGAAAGGATTTTTTTCACCTCTGACAACATTTGGGGTTGAGTTGGGTAACGAGCAGGGAGCAGCTCCTTGTGGGGCAAAGCAGGAAGTTCTGGAGGGTTGGAAATACTCAAAAATACAAATAATTGTTATCAGGTGATTGGAAAGCTGACACTTTTTGTTTAGTGCTTGATTTCCTGGGAATCTCTGTGGATTCCTGGGGAGAGTTAGGTGGTAACTGCATGTGGATGGGTTGGGAATTAAATCCATGGAATCCCAGAATGGTTTGGGCTAAAAGGGACCTCAAAGCCCACCCAGTGCCACCCCTGCCATGGCAGGGACACCTCCCACTGTCCCAGGCTGCTCCCAGCCCTGTCCAGCCTGGCCTTGGGCACTGCCAGGGATGCAGGGGCAGCCCCAGCTGCTCTGGGCACCCTGTGCCAGGGCCTGCCCACCCTGCCAGGGAACAATTCCTGATTGCCAAGATCCCATCCAGCCCTGCCCTCTGGCCCTGGGAGCCATTGCCTGGCTCCTGTCCCTGCAGGCCTTGTCCCCAGTCCCTCTGCAGCTCTCCTGGAGCCCCTTCAGGCCCTGCCAGGGGCTCTCAGGTGTCCCTGGAGCCTTCTCTTGTCCAGGTGAGCATCACCAATGTTTAATGCTGGCTAATATAATACAGACTGTAAGTACACACACCTAAAGCATAGACATAGGTACAATAAATACATTAATACAATAAATACATTTAATAAAATGAAATATAATAATAGAATATTTAATATCATTAAATATAGTCATAGATACAATAAATACATTAATATTTATACAGAATGAAACATAGTAATAGAATATGTAATATCATTAAATATAGACATAGATACAATAAATACATTAATATTTATATAAATGAAACATAATAATAGAATATGTAATATCATTAAATATAGACATAGATACAATAAATACATTAATATTTATATAAATGAGACATAATAATAGAATATGTAATATCATTAAATATAGACATAGATACAACAAATGCATTAGTATTTAATATAATGAAATATAGTAATAGAATATTTATTATAATTAAATATAAGCTTGAAGTGTAACCCTTGCTCTTAGTGCTTAGTGCAGGAATGTGCATTTTTAAACACAGCTTTGATCCCTGCATGTGCTGATTTGGCCTTGCAATATCCCAGAGGTGCCAGGAAAGGCTCTGCTGGGTGTGGAATTGAATGGGCACAGCACAGAGAGAGCCCAGAGCATGGGACAGATCCCAGGGGGCCATGGAGACCATGGGCAGCTTCCACCAACTCCACACAGAGCCAGGAATCAAATTCCAGCCCCAGTGAGGGAGGCAGCAAGGATAAACCATGAACCAGTCTGAAATAACTCAATTTCCCCGCATCTCATCCAAATCATTGCAACAAAACCCCTTTGCTGTTGTAATTAAAAATAAACAAAATGCCCTGGGCAGATCTAACCCTTTATTTCTGCCTCAGAAAATCTTGGCTCAGCTTTATACTTAGAAAATAAGGATCCCAAGCTGCCTGTGAGTGGAGCATTTCCACACTCAGGGAATGTGGGAACAAATTCCATTGTCCCTCACAAATCAGTGCTCACATGCAGGGGTGTCTTGACCCCTCAGAGCTGATGTCCAACACTTTCACTTCCCAGTTATCTTCATTTTCCTCCTCAGAATTTCCTCCTCAGAATTTCCTCTTCTGGAATTTCCTCTTCAGGAATTTCCTCTGGCCGCCCTCTAATCAAGCCCAGTTAGATTTTCTGTTTGCTGCCCAGAACACAGATTAATAAAGGAATGGTCTCTGTCTGCTTTGCAATAACGTTCCAGCAATGCTCAGGCAAAGCTGGAGCTCCCAGTCCCATGGAGACCCTTCCAGAGCATCACCCACCACCAGGACATTCCACACGTGGGATTTTGGGCCTTCAGCTGGATCCTGCAGGATTCCTTTCCTTGTTGCACTTTCAATTTCAGCCTTACGTTCATCTTTCTTCTTTTAAAACTCCAACCAGAGCATCTGATGCTCAATAAACTTTCCTGCTCCTAAACTTCCTGCTGGCATGGAGCTCAGGGCAAGGTTCTTCCCCCCGAGGCTGCTGGGCACTGCCCAGGCTCCCCAGGGAATGGTGCCAAGGCTGCCACAGCTCCAGGAGCCTTTGGACACAGAATTCACAGAATCACAGAATTTTGGAATCACTGGGTTGGAAGAGACCTCCAAGATCATCAAGTCCAACCCAGCCCCAGCACCTCAACTGAACCCTGGCACCCAGTGCCACATCCAGGCTTTGTTAAACACACCCAGGGATGGGGACTCCACCACCTCCCCGGCAGCCATTGCAGAGCTTTATCACCCTTTCCATGAAAAACTTTTTTCCTAATATCCAACCTAATATCCTAATTAGGTTTTTCCTAATATCCTACCTATAAGATAGGATCTCACCAACTTCCTAATATCCAACCTATATTTTTTCCTATTATCCAACCTGAATTTCCCTTGGCACAGTTGAGGCTGTGTGCTCTGGTTCTGTCAGTTCCTGGAGAAAGAGCCCAGCCCCAGCTGAGCACAGGCACCTTTCAGGAGCTGCAGAGAGTGATGAGGGCACCCCTGAGTCTCCTTTTCTCCAGGCTGAGCACCCCCAGCTCCCTCAGTTGCTCCTCACAGGGTTTGTGCTCCCAGCCCCTCACTGACAGAGCCCTCAGGGCTGCTCAGGGTGGGGTTTGGGGTGGCTGTGCAGGGACAGGGGCTGGATTTGATCCCTGAGGGTCCCTCCCAGCTCAGGATATTCTGGGATGCTCAGAAACCCCTCTGTAGCAAGAGTCAAACCCCGAAGCAGAACCTTGAGCCTCCCAGTCCATCCACCTGGAGCTTTGGCAAGGCCTGGAATGGATGGGCTGGAGGAAATGGGACACTCTGGATTCTGCCCAGGGCTGGGGTGGGCAGCACTGGGTGAGCAAAACTGCAGAGCAGGAATCACTGAGCAGAAAAAAGCAGCAAAATGATCAGCTCTGGGGTTATTTTTTCCACCAAGTACATCCCGAGTACTCCAGCACCTGCAGAAAATAAGTGAAGTCTCCAAACCTCCTTTTATGACGATTTCACCAAGCCAGGCACTCTCTCCCAGCACTTCAGGGATGTTTCTGCATGTCAGGAATTAACTGGACAGGAAGCACAGGCAGAGCTGGAAGAGACCCCAGCCCCAGCATCTCTCAGTGATTGACTCCAACCCTGAGCTCAGATCTCACAGAAAACCCTTCTGCCTCCAAGGTGCCCAACACAGCCACACTTTGCCCAGGTTCTCTCTTATTCTGGCCTCAAAAACACCAGGGGCTGCGTATTTTAAACCTTAAAAAGGTTTAAAATTTTAACAGACTTAAAAAGTCTCTTACAAAACCAACTGAT